AGGGTGTCAGCAGAGGACAGCTGGCCCTCGGCCCAGAAGAGGGGGTGCTGAGGGTGGTCCCCATCCCGGCGCCGCAGCTGGAAGCTGGTGGAGTTGAGGTGGAGGAAGACATCAGCCATGCTGTCCTGGCGCAGGCAGCGGCCCCGGCCCTGGCACAGCGCCGTGCTGCAGAGCTGCGCTGCTGTCGTGACATTCACGATGTAGCGGCCCAGGTCCCCCTCCAGGTAGTTCTTGATGATCTGGCATGAGTCCTGGGGAAAGGCAGGCATCAGGGGCATGTTGGGGTGCCCCAGGGAGAGAAGCACCCCAGATGGAGAGGGCAACCCAACCTCAAGCCACTGGTCCCCCTCTGGGGGCAGGTGACCCCCCCACACCCATCAGCTACTGCCCCAGGGGAACACTGACCCCAAACCTACCCGGTTTTTAGTGTAGTCCGCATCACCCCAGAAAATGGCCCCAGCTGCACCCAGCGCTGCACTCTCTCCAATGGTGGAGATCAGGTCCGGCTGTGGGGACAGAGCCTCATTAGTGCCCACAGATCCCATGCAGCACCCACACCCCCCAGCACAGTGCGCCCCAAAAAGCCCACTGCAGGGTCAAGGAGGCAAGAGCCATCCCTGCTCCAGGGGAAAAGGTGACTGTCCCAGCAACTTGAAGGCAAGGCTCCCCACCACCACTGCCCTCCTCAGGGGCTAAGAGAGCACAGCACAGAGGCTGTGGGCTCACACAGCCCGGGGTCCCAGCCGCTGGGACCCAGGAGTCCTGCAGCACCTCTCATGCACTTCCTCAGGGACAGTGACCATCGGGGCCCATCCTGCTGCTGGACAGCCTGCCCATAAAGGGGGAGTTCATGGCACCCTATTGCCCACCCATGGAGTGGCTGAGCCACAGGTGCCTACACTCACTGTGACCCCCCTGGGAGGAAGGCAGGGCTGGGCACCCCCTCTGCTCTCTGGGGCGGCCATATGCACCAGCAACCCCATGCCAAAGGGTGCTGCTCCCTGCCCCACACAGGGGCAGCTGGGCCATGGGGTGCCAGTGACACCAGGAGGGCAGCCACCAGCCTCCAGAGCCACCCCGCTCCAGGGGACTGGGATGGGACACAGGCAGAGGGAACACCTCAGCTGGCTCCCAAACTCAGGTGCCCAGGGCTTGGGACGAGGACAACCCAGTGGCACAGCCCTACCTGGCTGAGTACATCCAGCTTGCGGATGTAGGTGGGCCGGGTGTAGACGAAGACAGGCAGGGAGTAGCCATCATGATGCTGCTGTGAGATGCGCATGGCCTCCATCACCCGCGCCCGCACAAACTTGCGGCTGTTGGGGGTAGAGGCCAGGAGCAGGTCGAGGTAGATGGAGGGGTAGAGGGCCGTGCTCTCCCTCCAGAGCCACGCCAGCTGGTCATTGCGCGTCTTCTCCACATCCGGGCACTGCCCAGTGTAGCTCTCCTTGTTCTTGCTGTAGTCGTGGTTGTAGCAGTCAGGGAAGAGGTAGAACCCCCAGAGCTGCTTGGGGCGGAAGCTCTTGGCCATGCGCAGCGTGCTCACCATGAACTGCCGGGCAGCCGACTCAAACTCAAACACGGCCTGCTTGCTCACCTCCTCGCGCGACCAGG